TACAAGCATGTGAGGCAATCAAGAGGCCACTAAACCAGCAAAATTTAGAGTATGCCATGCCAAATAAAGCCCAAAACCACGAAACATGGTTAATGCATGCAAGAATGAGATGTTCCTTTGATATGCTATGAAGAGGGTTATTCTACACATGCAAGATGGACATCCAATATGGAAAAACAAGCTCTGGAAAGAGCCTATGCAGGTCCTCAAACTCATCAAAAATGGCCTGAAACATGGCTTGGAAGCATGCAAATAAGGGCTCATTTGTAAGGCCAAAAATGCTAGAAAACAAAACAAGGAGAGAGAGAGTCACCCCTCTCTGATTTTGGCACTCAAAACAGCATGCTAGCCACTGAAATCCACTGGATTTCAGTGGCTAGAAGGCCAAACAAAGGTCAATGCAAAGGCCCTAATGCATGGCTCAAAAAAGGCAAAATAAAGCATGCAAGGGGGTAGATGACCCCCAACAGAAAAATGATCTTAAACAAACATGTTAAGGACCTCAAATAGTGTGTGTGTGTGTGTGTGTGTGTGTGTGTGTGTGTGTGTGTGTGTGTGTGTGTGTGTGTGTGTGTGTGTGTGTGTGTGTGTGTGTGTGTGTGTGTGTGTGTGTGTGTGTGTGTGTGTGTGTGTGTGTGTGTGTGTGTGTGTGTGTGTGTGTGTGTGTGTGTGTGTGTGTGTGTGTGTGTGTGTGTGTGTGTGTGTGTGTGTGTGTGTGTGTGTGTGTGTGTGTGTGTGTGTGTGTGTGTGTGTGTGTGTGTGTGTGTGTGTGTGTGTGTGTGTGTGTGTGTGTGTGTGTGTGTGTGTGTGTGTGTGTGTGTGTGTGTGTGTGTGTGTGTGTGTGTGTGTGTGTGTGTGTGTGTGTGTGTGTGTGTGTGTGTGTGTGTGTGTGTGTGTGTGTGTGTGTGTGTGTGTGTGTGTGTGTGTGTTGTAATAAGTGTGCGTGTGTGTGTGATGCATGTCTTCCAACCCCACGTATTTCTCTCTTTTATTTACCAGCTTATGATGGTTAGTTTAGGGCACGTTACAATTAGCATGCTTATGCTCGCATGTTTGCATCCATTTATCTGTCTTGCATGCACCGGGTTCGGTGCATCATACTAACTGCATTGTATTTCAATTTCGAGTTGAATACGTGTATTGCATTTCATATGCCATTTTAGAATAGCCGAGCCTATCTTAGTTGCATTTTTGCATGTGTTGCATTAGGCATTTCAATATAGTTAGGATTCATGCATGATTTCTAATTAGCTTCTTTCTTTGGCTTGAAGTACCCGGTAAGTCTTTATGCTTTAGCATCCTTGCATGCGTGTGAGTGACTGCCATGATAGCATGCTTACCATGAGGTTATTTGCTTATGTGATATAACTGCCTGAATGCCTGTGGGTGAAGGTTAGGTTATTTGAATTAGAACAATTCACTAATTGAGAGTTTTAAGCCCACTTGAGAGTGGCAAAATCATGTTTTCTTAAGCCCACTTGAGGGTGGCAAATCCACGTCTTAGCCTACTTGCGAGTAGCACCATCAAACCATCTTTCAAATAAACAAACATAAAATGTTTTGTTCAAACTCAAATGATCCAGTATGTACTTGTATGTTGTGTGCATCACATAGTAATTCTAGGCTAATAACCGGAATAAGAGCACATAATGTTTTCAAAACTCGATAGCATGGTTAGTAGAGACCGATCTTTGATCGGGCAAACAGAGGTGCTCACGAAGTGACCTTCCCCAATTGTACCCAAGTTCCCGAGCCGAGGCAACTTTGGTGATGACGGACACGTGGCCTTAGGCACGAGTCAAGGTTTCCTAAATTCTCCCAAAATAAAATATTTAGGTGGCGACTCTGTATCTGGCAAAGTAGTCCATGTTTGACACTTCTTTTTAAAAATCAGTTTTTCAAACCGATTTGTCAGATTTGGACTCTTTGGTGATTTATCAATCTCGCATTGCACTTTGCAAGATTAGATTCAGAACCGTGAGATTTGAGTCCGAACTGTAGTAAGCCCAATAAACAAAACGGGATTTCTCCCGGGACATTCGGGCGTGTCCACAGATGCATATAATGCACACCCTTTAAGGAGTGTGCTCCATAGTGTTTCCTCTTATTATTTTATAAAGTTTAATATCTCAAGTTATTATTAGAACAAAATAAATTAAAACCCAGTTTACATTAAATTTATAATGTTTAATTAAATCTCTATTTATTCATTTATAATTCAGAGAAAATGAATGAACGATTAAGTTAGTTTACCAAAGTTAAAAAGATATTTTGAGTAAATATTTTAAAATTGATACTACTCAAATATATCATTTTTATATTGATCAGCAAAAAATTTGACTTAATAATTATGTAACACTTTTCATGATGTAAAATTTCGAGCTCAATTAGAGAGACTTTTATGATGATTGATTTACAATAATGTTCTGGATCCCCTTCCCTCCCACCCCCTTTGACCCCCTCTTAATATGATTGGCCAGTTTTTCTTTCTCATTTTCTTTTTTTTCCTTCTCCTCCAATCACCACCCGCCACGTGTGTATGGGGGAGTGGTGAGAGTGGTGATTGGAGGGGGTCTCAATCATGACCCATTGATTTATTTCTTCCTGCTTATTATGGAGTTGTTGAGCTTGGTGGGTTGACAAAAAAAGGAATAATGAATTTTCTCAACTTTTTGCTCCATGGGGTGGGCTCCACCTCAATGATTTATTACAATATAAATATTAAAAAAATAACATATAAGTCTACATTTTAAATTTATTTTTTAAATTTAATAATTTATCAATAAGATGATTGGTTGATAATTAGAGAATAATTAAGAAAAAATTGATTTAGAGAAAGTTGAGTATTACTATTGAGGTTAAAAAATTACATTCACTAGTAATACTCAATAGTAATACTCATAAATATCTTAGGAACACACATTTTTGCCGTCAAAAGTGAAAATATTATTACAAAAAATATTAAGGGGTTATTTGTGATGTCTTAAATAAGTGTACTTTTTAAATTTTTAGACTAAAAATTTGAGGAAAAAAATATGATTGTTTGGATTAATATTTTGACTTTTTATGAAAAAATGTGTATTAAAAAATTGTATAAATTAGTGGGTAGGGAAAAATTAAGATTGGAAGTTGTACAGCCGTAATTTTTTACTTTTGATAAATAGTGATAACTTTTTAACTTTTTGAGTAACTTTTTGATTTTTTGACCACATATCAAACTTGGCCTAAGATTCAAATTTCAACCAAATATTTTTAGATTAATGCAGCAGACCCCCAGTCCCCCCGGACCCCCAGTGACCCCCAGCCCACGTGGCTGTGGGTGATTGGAAAGAAAGAAAAAAAAAAAAAAAAAAAAAAAAAAAATTCTGGACCAATGAAAAAAAACTGGGGTGCTGGGGGTGCCCCCACTGGGGGTCCCTAGCACCGTTGATATTTTTATCCTCAAAATGAAAATATATTATTACAAAAAAAAATATTGGGCTGCAAATTCAATCGGTAGGAAAAGATGGTCCGCGAAAGTAAAAAAAATGACGGCTAGTGATAAAATTTTAAAATATCACTGGTTAAGGTATTTTTAGAATTAAAATAATTTGGTGTTAAAGGGGTTTATTTTTTGACAAAAAATTGTTCCAAAAAGATAGCAATTTATTATTAAATGTCTAGTTTCATCACTAAAAATAAAACAATGAATTTTTTGGCAGCTAAAATATTTTGTTTCTAAATTTTTTTCTCTAAAAATTGTTGTAGTGATCCAAACCATTCATTTGTTGTAAGAGTGATGCAAACTGCACTGTTCATTTGTTGTAGGGATCCGAACCATTCATTTTGTATATGGCCCTCCTAAAAAGTTATTTAGATCTCATATGTCTAAAAAATTTTGATTGATTACATTTGAAAGTTATGCTATTTGTTAATTATTTTTTATACAAATGTAATCTGATCAAGTGGCACTTAGTGTCCAATTAAGCTAATTTTTTTTTTTTTAATAAAATTTTCCATACAGAGTACAGCATGGCCTTATATGTTCCTCTCAGTTCAATGCAAAGCCCCGCCATTGTGGTTCAAGATTGTAAAAATACAATTATCACATCATTTTGTATGAATTTTATGTATAGTAATTCTATTAATAAATTTTATTTATTTTTATTTAGTATGAATAAAGATATATAAATACAAATACATATGTAAACACAAAATTTATATTGAATATGGCATAAAAGTGGTATTTTTAGAATTAAAATAATTTGGTGTTAAAGGGGTTTATTTTTTGACAAAAAATTGTTCCAAAAAGATAGCAATTTATTATTAAATGTCTAGTTTCATCACTAAAAATAAAACAATGAATTTTTTGGCAGCTAAAATATTTTGTTTCTAAATTTTTTTCTCTAAAAATTGTTGTAGTGATCCAAACCATTCATTTGTTGTAAGAGTGATGCAAACTGCACTGTTCATTTGTTGTGGGGATCCGAACCATTCATTTTGTATGGCCCTCCTAAAAAGTTATTTAGATCTCATATGTCTAAAAAATTTTGATTGATTACATTTGAAAGTTATGCTATTTGTTAATTATTTTTTATACAAATGTAATCTGATCAAGTGGCACTTAGTGTCCAATTAAGCTAATTTTTTTTTTTTTAATAAAATTTTCCATACAGAGTACAGCATGGCCTTATATGTTCCTCTCAGTTCAATGCAAAGCCCCGCCATTGTGGTTCAAGATTGTAAAAATACAATTATCACATCATTTTGTATGAATTTTATGTATAGTAATTCTATTAATAAATTTTATTTATTTTTATTTGGTATGAATAAAGATATATAAATACAAATACATATGTAAACACACAATTTATATTGAATATGGCATAAAAGTGACGCAAACGATCTTATTACCCAATTATGAAAAAATTTAAAACTCAAATAGAGATGAAATAGTAAATAAAATGAAAAGTGGTTCACAAATTAGCAATTAATTAAGCTCTTAAATAAGAAAAGCATACCTTGTCGTTGAAGAGGGGTTGAATGATGGGATCACAATTACTCTCTGAATCTGAAGCAGGACAGAGACGCTTCAGCTTTGGCATATTCGATAGTGACAAGGAACTCAGTTGTGGCAGCTCAATTGCATTCATAGCTTTGCAGATAGCAGTCAAACTTGGCAGCAATTCAAGATCCAATATCTTTAGTTTAGGAAACTCGATTTTATCTGTTGCTATTGCTGCTATTTCATGCTCTACTGCTTCACTCGAAACAATTTCTTTCATCATAGGACACTGAATTATCTCAAGGTCCTGCAGTTGCACTAGATCTCTAGCTATGGAAAGTGAGAACATACTTTCTAGTATATCACAACCCACCACTTCTACAGACGTCAGGTTGCCGAACCATACAAGTTGGGTGGGACCCTTCCACAAAGCCTTGTTCGATAGTCGGCTTTCATGACTAGTAATCCCTTTGAAATTATCCAAACCATAAAGCCATATATAATCTAACACAGGGAAAGCACTCTGCGGAACCCCATCTGCTGTATTGATGAGGTATTCCAAATCATACAACTTAGATAGTGACAAATAAGTTAAGCATTCAAAACCACCTTCGCCGACCAAATCACAGAGAATTTTCAAACCTTTTACACTTGAGTTTAAAATCAGAATTTCAGTGCTCTTCCACAGAAAATTAAGCCTTGTTTCAATAATGTCACTCATGTTTTCAACTTCGAGCACCAACCGATTTGATAACGAAAAACGGACAGGGATATAGCTATAGGAAATGCCAACACGTATATTGAACTTTTTTAACTTCTCAATGACCAAACCTCTCGGCCAGAAGGAAATGTTTATTAGAGCAATATCCAGTGCCACCAAATTGGACAAGGACGCCAGCTCATCGATAATTGCTTTAGCACCTTCTTTGCTTTCTTCAACTTCACACCAACTTCGAAATATAGACCCAACATACAACTCTTCTAGCTTTGATAAGCTAGACAAAACCCCTGGGTAAATCCTTTCCACTACACATCCCAACAAATCAAGTACCTTCAAGTGAGCACGGTGACCTATTATTTCTTTTGGCAATTCCTTGATATAAGAGTCGCCAAACCTCAAAATTTCCAGGTTCTCTAATGCTCCGATAACAGAGATACCATCATCAATAAGTCGGCAATGAAAAAGTGACAAGGTTCGGAGGTTGGTCAAGCATCGAAGTGATGTCGGCAATGAGCCGTACATATCGGATAAAGCTAGCACTTTAAGTTCTTTCATTCCTTGGTAAAAACTATCTTGGGTCTCTTGTACTTTGACTTCCTCCATTCCTTTGTTGAGATCATCGAACGAGATTGGTGGTAATCCAGCATTGCAATCTAGCTTTAGAAGATGGAGATTTGGAAATTCTAAATTACCAGGAAGCCCATGCATACCATCAACTTTTAATGAAATTATAGCATTTTTTTCGAGTCGGTCTTTCTTGGGCCATTCTATCAATACTTCATCACATCTCACGACAATCGAATGCTCCTCCCTAGATGCGATTGATATAGCCACATCACGTATGACATCATGCATTTTGATACACTCTACTTTTTCACTTTCCATCAATAGATAGCATTTTTTTAAGTCATCAACTACGGAATATACTCTATTTCTTGCTTGATTCACACTATCAATGCGCTCAAACAACTCTATCCCAATTGCATATCTAACGAGATCTTCAATTGGAATAGCAAAATCTTCTGGATATAAAGAACATAGCAAAAAGCATTTCTTGGCTTCCTTACTTTCTAAGAAATTGTAACTCAACTCCAAAGATTTAATCACCTTGTCATACACTCCCTTGATGTTATTAACTATAGACTTCCGTAATTGTTCAAGAGCAGAATCCCATGAAGGCTTGCCTTTACCTTTGAGTGCCCTCCCAACTGTAACGATTGAAATGGGCAGACCTCCACATTCCTTTGCAACTGCCATCTGTGTCGACTGGAAATCAATTGTATGACCCATATCGTTGTACGGAATTGCAGCCTTCTCCTTGAACAGATTCCACGCTTCTTCTTCAGGTAAGACAGGAACCATAAAATTCTTTTGTGTGTTCATGCTGTTGCATACATCTTCACTTCTCGAAGTCAACACAATTTTGCAACTTTTGCAATCATCTCCAAATGGAATTCCAATCTCATTCAGCTCTAGTATGTCCCAAACATCATCCAATATTACAAGGACTCTCCCACTTTTCAATATTTTTGATCGTATCTCCCCCGCTCCTGTAGGTAAATTGTTTCCCTCAAAATTTTTTAAATCCAATATTTTGGCAATCTCACTTTGAATATTAATCAAGTTTGGGTTTTGGGACACTACTACCATCACAATAATATCAAACATTTTCTTTTCTTCCGCTTTCTTGGCAACTTCTTTCACCATAGTTGTCTTACCAACCCCTCCCATTCCACATATCCCAATCACATTGATACTATCATCTGTCAGTGCCTCCATAACTTCATTCATAATCGACCTTCTAGATTCAAACCCGTTAAATCCTCCCATGGATATGAATGTTGTCCCCACATGAGATGTAACTGCAGGGATGGAAACCCCAGAGAAATTTCCATCCCCAAATAGCTCTTCCAAGCCTTGAGTTTTCTTTGTAGCTTTCCTGCTCAATGAGTAGCGTGACTTCAGATTTGGACACCACCCATTCAGACACCCTTTGTTCGGTATGACTTCATCCTCAAAGAATTTGTTGGCATCATTGCTGAGTTCATCCACCTGTGTCAACCACCGTGAAACGGTAGTTTTAATACTATCGCTTCTACTTTTTGCTGCATCAACTTCTCCTTGTATATCGGATCTTTTATCTTGAAGCTTTTGGATTTGCTTTCTGAGATTTTCAATGTTTCTGTCATAGAAAATCAAATAACCAAACTGGCGGCCAACTGGGGCAACCAGACATTCTCCAATCTTCATTACTACAGGAAGAACAAAGTTCACGACCATTTCTCTCACGTTTTTCTTCTGAGGATAGTGAAAACTTAAAATGTAAAAGACTAGAACACAACGAAAAGGAATTTCTACAGCAATCGAAATGGAAATGAGGAATTTGAGCTTTGCAAATCGAAATAGAACAAGAGAGTACTACTATTTTGCAGAGGATATGAAGACAGGAAAGAAACACTTAGATGACAAAATCGAAAGGGAATACAAATTTTTTTTTTTTGACAAGCAGGGTTGAATATAGAGAATTATATTGTAATATAATGGGACTAGAAGGGGAGTTTTGGTACTATGACAGAAATAGAAACCAAGAAAGGGAGCTTTGTAAAATGAAAACAGAACACACAACAGAATATTATTCTGATAATTGTTCAACAAGAGTTCTAATAGAGTTGAAGTGGAGGAGATAACAAAGCTCTCTAAAATCAAAAAGGGATACACTTTTTCTTTTTTTTTTTCTGGTAAGTAACACTTGAACACAGAATAAAATTGAAGGAAGAAAGTAAAATTATAGTGAGTTTTTTTTTTTTGGAGGGGGGCTGATAAGAAGCAATGATAAAAAGATAAGAGTAATAATATATATGATTAATTGAAGGAGGAAATGAAGAAAGAAAAACCTTTGAGATTTTGTTACGTCTCTTAGAGATGAAAAATGCATTGCATAATCATTCGCCGGCAGTGAAGAGTAAAGCTTTTCAGGAAGACAACAACGAAGTCAAATAGAAAGAGAGTATCAAAAGCCAAACAATGAACTCTTAACTGTTGATGCAGAGTAAATTACACTCACCTCTTTTGAGGTTTTCCCTTTTGAGATAATACAGTTAATAAATTAATATAATTATATTAATTTATCTTTTAGTATAATTAAAACTATCAAAATTAATACCGATGATAGTTAAATACTGAAATAAATAATGGAAAATAAACATTTTAGTAGGAAAGAGATTGTAACATTATTTTTTCATTTATATGACGAAAAAGTTATTGATAAAAGTTAACTAAAGTGTTACGTGAATTAAAACTTTGTACAAAATCAATATAATTATGTCAAAAACGTAAGATTAACTATATTTTTCTTAAAAATTATGAGAGGTAAGTGTAATTTATTTTACATACATAGAACATAGAGCAAAGCATAAAGTGTATTTTGCATTAAAAAATAAGGGAAATATTCATAATTTATATAATGAGATGTAAATAAACATTTTAGTATGAAAGAGATTGTAACATTATTTTTTCATTTATATGACGAAAAAGTTATTGATAAAAGTTAACTTAAGTGTTACGTGAATTAAAACTTTGTACAAAATCAATATAATTATGTCAAAAACGTAAGATTAACTATATTTTTCTTAAAAATTATGAGAGGTAAGTGTAATTTATTTTACATACATAGAACATAGAGCAAAGCATAAAGTGTATTTTGCATTAAAAAATAAGGGAAATATTCATAATTTATATAATGAGATGTGCCTTTTTAAAGTATTTTTTTAGAGTTAACTAAAAAGTTAATTTACAAGCTAAAAATTAAGCCTATAAAAAAATTAATACTAAAATAATTAGTTTGTTTTGACATATTATAGTTTGGGCTCAGTTATCATATGTAGAAGACTAGAACACAACAAAAATGGATTTCTACTACAATCAACATGGAAATGAGGAAATTTAACCTTGCAAATCAAAACAGAACAAAGAGAGTAATACTATTGTGCAGAGGATATGAAGACAGGAAAGAAGCACTTAGATGACACGTGACAAAATCAAAAGGGCATACAAAATTTTTTCTTTTTTTGACAAGCAGGGTTGAATATAGAGAATTATATTGCAATACAATGGGACTAGAAAGGGGAGCTTTTGTACTATAAGTTATAACCGAAATATAGACCAAGAAAAGGAGTTTTTATAAAATGAAAACAGAACACACAACAGAATATTATTCTAATAATTCTTCAACAAGAGTTCTAATAGAGTTAAAGTGGAGGAGATAACAAAGCTCTCTAAAATCAAAAAGGAATACAGAGTTTTTTTCTTTTTTATTTTCTTGTAAGCAACATTCGCCGGCAGTGAAGAGTAAAGCTTTTCAGGAAGACAACAATGAAATCCAATAGAAGGAGAGTATCAAAAGCCAAACAATGAACTCTTAATTGTTGATGCACACTCATCTCTTTTGGGGTTTTCTCTTTTTCTCATATTTTTGACATAATTTTATTAATTTATCTTTTAGTATGGCTAAAACTATCAAAATGAATACCAATGATAGTTGGATACTTAAATAAATAATGGTAAGTAAACTTTTAGTATGAAAGAGATTATAACATCCTTTTTTTCATTTATATTGATGAAAAATGACTTAAGTGTTATGTGAATTAAAACTTTTATGAAAGGTCAATATAATTAGATTAACTGTAATTTTCTTTAAATAACGTGAGAGGCAAGTGTAATATACTTTACAAACATGAAGTAAAACAGAAGGCGTAAAATATATTTTGCCTTAAAAATGGAGAAAAATGTTCATGACTTATATAATGATGATGTCACTTTTTAAAGTTTTTTCTTAGAGTTAATTAAAAAGTTAATTTACTAGCTAAAAATTAAGCATATAAAAAACATTAATGCTAAAATAGTTAGTTTGTTATGACATATTATAGTTTGGGCTTAGTTTCTAGATTGGATCATATTGTTTTGGTTTGTGGAGCCTATTATCGTTTGGATGAAACGAACCGTTCATATTTTAGATTACAAAGTGTAAATTATCCATAAAAAAATTAGGTCAATCCAATAATCGTAGTCACATTAGTTCATTATATTTATTTTCTAAAAAAAGAATGATCAAGTTTTTAAATACTATTTGCGCTTATCTTTGTCATGAACTAATATAGTTATATTGATCTGATTTTTTTTCATGAATAATTTACATATTGTGGTCTAAAAAGTAAATAGTTCAAATCATTTTATTTTTTTATTTTTTTTTTGGGGTTACATTTCTAATTGCCTTTATTATGGCTAAAGTGAGTTCTTAAAAAAAAAATTGGGGATTTTTTTTTAAGGTCCCTGGTATTAAGATTTTATAGCATAAAGGACACCTAAATGTCTAAGGTCCCTCAACATCAATTTAGAGAAAATTCGACCGAGAAAATTTCTCTGGACTTTCCAGAGAAATTCTCTTCAGAGAAATTTTGGAAATTTCTCTACACTTCCCAGAAAATTTCTCTGGACTTCCCAGAGATTTTCTCTGCACTTCTTAGAGAATTTCTCTAGACCTCCTAGAGATTTTCTCTCCAAAGAAATTTGTGTTTTGACTCAACTAGAGAAAATTGATCAAAAAGGAACCTCAAGATCAGTATATACCTAATCATTATCCAACCAGAGAAAATCCATTCAAAATCACATTTTTCATTTTTTTTCCCTTCCAATATCTGAGCAAGTAAACAAAGTAATAGAGAAATTAAAGCAACCAAATATCAAAAAGAAACTAACACATCCCGAGTTTTCCAGAGAAAATTCGCACAGTGACTAAATCCAGAGAAAATTCACACAGTAACTAAATCCATAGAAAATTCACATATAATCTGCATAAACCCCCAGAATCTTTGAGTAAATAATCACCACTCTCATCATCTCCAAACTTGAACAAAATTGTTAATTTTTGAAACTCCAACTTGAACAAAATTCACAGAGAAAATCTCACAGAAATTCACATCAACCCAAAGAAATTCTTCAAAACCAGAGAAAATCTCACCTCCACTCTAGAAAAAATACTCAAACCAGAGAAAATCTCCCTTTCTAACCTAGATAAATTCCTCCTCATAATCTTTTCTGGTTGAAAATCATAAACCTCAGGCAAAATGTGTTCCATAGCTCACACATTGGCTCCAGAGAGAAAATTTTCAATTTTGTTGAAAAAACCGCTAATGCAGAGAAAATTCAAAGATAAGACCATAAATGCAATAAGAACAATCAATTTGGAGTTGAAAAATATATTTCAAACCAAGCGAAATTCTCTGTTTCTCTCTGGAGAAATTTCGATTTTGTTGAAAAAATCACTACTGCAGAGAAAATCCAATACCAAAGAAATTTGAACAACGAAAGACCTACCAGAGAAATTTGAACAGAGAATTTCTCTGGACTCAAACTAGAGAAAATTGAAATTTCTCTAAGTTCAAACCAGAGAAATTCTCTCCAGCCAGAGAAAATTCACGAACAATTATCATAATTAGAGAAAATGCAGAGAAATTTGACATCTTTGCCATATAAAATACAGTACAAGTTTTGACATCTTTACACCCTTATTTTCCTCCTATTCAATATAGTAACAACAAGAGAAATTTTCCATTGGCAACAATGGCTTGAATTACATATCCACCATCCATCAATGTGAACTACTGGGAGAGTGAGGAGTTGAGTGGCACCTTAAACAACAATCAACAATTAACAAAGTTGCAATTTCTTCTCCATTCCCACAGATTACACAACCCAGCTTCCCCTTCAAACCTCTTTAGCAAAATCACATTCAAATTCTGGACTTCCAAAGAATTTCTGTGGATTCAAACCAGAGAAATCCAAAGAAAATTGAACATCACGAAGAAAATTAAACAAGGAAAAGAAAATTAAACATCACATAGAAAATTAAACAAGAATTTCTCTGAACCACTCCTTCACACCTCTCTCATGTATATGCATGAAGACATATTGATGTATACATATATATATGCACAAAGAGAGAGAGAGAGAGAGAGAGAGAGAGAGAGAGATCGTTTCATGGCATCTACAACACCCTCTTCTTTGTTTTGTCTTTGTTTGCAGAAGCCTTGATGATCAAATAGCGAAACCGGGTTTCATGGAATCCCCGAAGCCGAATTTCCGGAAATGGGAATTCAGCACCACCGCGTTTCGTGACCATGTGAAGGGTGGAAGAAGTCATTGCAGCTCTAGTAGTTATGAAATCAACCACAGGACTGCCATAGGAAGAAGCAATGGTTATTGCCCAAGGCAGGTTGAAGTCATAAATAACCAAATTTGGGGTTAGTGTGTTGAGGATGTTGGAGAAGCTTAGGATTGCCATATCAAAGGCTGTTTTGAGAGTAGGGATGAGATGGGTTGGGAGGCCATTGGTGGTGAGGTAGTGAGGAGGAAGATTAGGGGAGGATGGAAGGTGGATTTCTACTAATTCAATGGAGTGAGGGTAGTTTTCAGTGATTCATTTCTTGATGGAACTGAGATTGATTGGTGTAGAACAAAGATATATGTGGAAATTTCTGTGTGTGAGTTTCTTGGCTAGCTCTACGAAGGGAGAGATGTCACCATGGGCCAACCAATGTCGACCACCATGTTGCCGGTGACTTAATTTGTCAAATTCCTTCGTAGAAGAAACCCTAATCTCTCTCTCTCTATACATACATACAAATGGGCAGTAGAAGCAAAATGAAGCAACATTCGGAAGACACAAATTTCTCTGTGATAAGGGACCTTAGATATCGTTAAATAATATTGTTGATCTCTTTCATTACTAAAATGGGAGAGGGACCTGAGACTAATTTTCCCAAAAAAATTTACCTATAAATCTCATATTGAGAAATGGTGATCCGTTTAATCCCATTAATTTTGGAAAAATAGATTTAATATATTATTTGGAAATTTTGTTTACGGTTATACCCTTTTTTTTTTTTTTCTTTTGTGCTAGAAAGGTAAGATACACAACCTATGAGAATCAAATTTGAGATGAATTTTTATATGTGAATCTTTTTTATTTGAAATAACTTGAAATATTAGATTCTTC